ACGCTCTTCCGATCTCCCCAAAACCCCAAAACCCCGTTATGCATATCAAAATGAATTTAATGTGGATGAATTAGTATTAATTTAATGGTAGAAAACAATGCACTCTCAAATGCCATAAGGGAGTTTGATGAATAGCTAGATATAGCTAATTTAAAAAAGCTAAGAAATACCAAAACCACGGAGCAATAGATAGTTGAGTTCATTTGAGATTTGCAGGACACTAATGGTATTAGCTAAGAAGATATATCTCTTAGATAATCACTGCTTAGATCAATTATCATTGAGATAAAAATTAGATTTAATCTCGATATTCATGATGAAAATTAAGCTTCAAAACCTTCATAGATTTAACTTGGCAGACTTCCACAAATCAATTAAGAATTACAGAGTATTTAATAATTGATTGATTCTAAGACACTAGTAAGACTCTATCTACTTTTAAACTAATTCTTATATCAAAATGTCTATAGGTCAGTGATATCATAAAGCTGAGGACCATAATTGTACATGAATAGAGTACAGAATAAGCTACTAATTAAATAAGGACTCTAACAAGAGCTATGTTGTAGAAAGCTGAAACTGGTGAACTTGACACAGAAATAAGAGTATTAAGATATGAATGCCCATTCCTGTACTCAGTTGTACTAGACACTCTAATTATAATGTAAGTATTGACTTATCATAACGTATAGATATCAGTCTCAGATTTTGAGAGCAAATCAATTTGATTTTTTAACGCTCGTACTACATTTAGAGTCACTTGGAATAAAAGATAATAATGATGTTTATTACGATAAAGTTGTTGAAAAGCAAGTTTACTATGCACTGAGTCATTTATACTAAGAAGCTAAACAAAACCTATCTCAAGATCAAGGCTTCATTACTAAAGTGAGAAATGCGATATCGCTACTATAAATAATGTCTCAAAAATCTCTCTATCGAAATAAGCTTAAATGGCTAGTTGAAGTTTTATTAGGTAAACTCTTTCATTTAGTGGATAATATCAACAAGGCAAGGGAATAAATGGATAAAGTTGACAAAATACTAAAAATCCATTATTAAAAGAGACTAGATGACCTGTAAACTGAAATAGTTAAAAAATAAACTATATCTTTTGAGAAATTAAATAGTATTCCTAGATTAAACGTTTCAAAAATATTCTATGAAAGCTATAACTAAGGATTAGTTTTGTAAGTGTATTTGATATTTAATAATAAATTACTAGAAATGAATGTAAACTAAATACATTGGAAGAGAAATTTTGCTAATTAATGTAATTTTGCATTGGTAATAGTACAAAAGAGCATAAGTAGTTGCTTCAATCGTAATTTCATTAATTTAAACTTTTTTTAAGCCATTTTTGGGAGACATAAACCAGACCTGAATTTATCTATCATTTGATTATGATTTATTATCAGAAAACGAAGACAAACAAAATTCTTAGTTTGATTGAATAGTTCCTACTAAAAACAGATGATCTATACAGGCAATCAAAATTGCCATAAATAAATTTACTGCGGCTTAAAATACTGGTTAACTATCATAAAGAATTCCAAGTAATCCTATATCTTATTGTTACATTAATATTAGAAAGGTATTGAGATAGCTGACTATCTACTTTATACTCTATATGAAACCTATGGGCAAATGGATAAATCTGTGAGAGATTTCCTAAGGTTAGAAGATCCAATGAGAAGGGCTTACTTTTATTATATCGCTGGTCTGACTTATTCAATATACTCAGATTCAAACGAATGCTAACTCTATGCTAAAAGAAAGCTAATGAAATAAAAATCTCTTGAGCTTCTAAAAACTTCATTATAGGTAAAATACTAATTATGCTTAATAATATTGATAGTTTGACAGCAAAAATCCATATTGCCTCTAGCAAGCTGCAGTTTTATCAGCCGAATTGAATAAGGTAGAGTAATCAATTGAATACCTAGACTTGAGTTAGTTAGTAAATGAGAATCAAGAAAGCTATGTATTTTTAAGAGCTGTTGCACTTCTATCTCAAAATCATCTTAATGAATCTTACTAACTAGTTGTCTCATTCCTTAAAAAGAATTAGTTCAACTAGTAGAGTATTCTAATACAGTTGCTAAAGTAATTCAAATATATTTGAACAACTTATTCAGGGCAAAGATTGAGCAAATTCATCACGAATCTAGAAAAGCAAATGAAGCGAAATTTAATGTTAAGGATCCAAGTTAAATGCTAGTTGAGACTTACATGAATAAAGAGTCACTTGAATTAAATAATGTCAATAAGAACTTTGAAAGTATTAACTCAAAATTCTCAAACATGATATTTGAAAAATCTGCATTAAATCAAAATGGGGATGATGGCAAGCAAATGAAATGCTTTTCAACATTGATGAAATTACTTCATTAATTGCAAGTGAAAGGGGATGAATCTAAGTTGATTTTGAATGACTCACAAATTTCATGCGATAATTTTATCGATTACTAATCTGTAAGATCAATGCTATTGTTTATATAAGTTAGGTTTTGATATTCACAATAAGACTCTACATTCTTCAAGGGGAATATGTATAAGCTAGGGCCTTGTATGATGATAATTTGAGTCCTTTAGCAGAGATAAATCCATAGATAAGACTTTTAGATGCTGTCCTGAATATGTATGAAGGTGAGAGTGCTGAAAAATTGAAAGCAAAGATGACTATCAAAGACATTATTAGGAGCAGTAACGAGACAGACATTGAGGCTATTCTTGTATACTCAGAAATTCTCATTGAACTAGAAAAATATGACAAAGCATTTTTCTACTTAAACCATAGTCTTAAGTATGAGTACAGAAATCCGAATATTTGGAGACTATTGGGTGAAGTCTATCAATAAAAGGCAAGACTTTGCGATTCTTAGTCAAATGGCAAGCAATTGACAGATGAGAAGACATTTAACTTGGAAAAAGCAGGGTTCTGTTTTAGCAAAGCCATCAAATACGAAAACTAGATTCCTTATGAGCTGACACGCTTAATTGGCATGATCCCTAAATTTATAAATTGAAGACTTTAATTCAAGATTAATTTAAGTTTCCGAATTATCATATCTATAATAAGTTTTTATTAATTCACAATGGCAAAGAAGGTTCTTATTTTAGCAGGAGATTTCGTAGAGAACATGGAGATCTTTGCTCCATACCATTGCCTCATAGTTCTAGGATTTGAAGTTCATGCAGTTTGTCCAGGAAAATCAAAGGGCGAGAAAGTAGCTACAGCAGTACATGACTTCGTCGGATTCTAAACCTACACAGAGAAGCAAGGCCATAATTTTGAATTAAATGCTACCTTTGATGAAATTTATCCAAGTGATTATGCTGGTCTCTGGATCCCAGGCGGAAGAGCTCCAGAATACCTTAGAATGAATGAGAAAGTTTTAGATCTTATCAGACATTTCTAAGAAGCAAATAAACCAATCGCTGCAATCTGCCATGGTGCTTAACTTTTGGTTGCTCTTGGTGGTCTCTAAGGTAGATAAATCACTTGCTATCCAGCTTGTGCAGTGGAACTTAAATTGGCTGGAGCTCAATATGTCGATGCTAAGGTTGAGGATGCCGTAGTTGATGGAAACATTGTTTCAGGAGTCGCATGGCCTTCAAACCCAGCAGTCTTATCCCAATTTGTCAAGCTTCTTGGTGTGACCATCACTCATAATTGAGGTGTGAATCTCTACCAGATTTTACAATATCTTTATTAAATCTCTTAACTTCATTAATCTTGTATTAAAATACGTAATCCCATACTCATCGACGCCCTAACATTAATAATTTAAAAAAGGTTAGAAATATTATAAATAAAATGAATGGCTAAAACTCTAAACTTATGAGCTCAATTTTCCAAACTCTGAAAAGATGTAATCACAGCTTAGCTTTATAATATCATCGACGTTTAGTTAGATCGGGACAATGACAGATAGCGAATCTGGAGATTTAAAAATATGTTCTGGATTAAGTATGAGCTATTTGAATTCACTAGATTGCAAAGTAAAATTGACATGAGTTTATATCCTATATTTCTAGAAGTGAGAGAACTGATGGATAGCCATAAATCTTATGATAAAGAAAAGATGCTTGGAGCCTAAAATTAGGACAAGAAGGACAAGTTTATCTGGTCTTACATTATAAAGCCAGTTAGAAAAGATTATGATGAGAAGTGATAAATTCATTAATCCAATAAATATTTAATTAAAATTTTCAATTTTGCTGCGACTATTTACTTTGATCATCATTTAAAACTCATATCATTCATTAAGTCTTGCAATTGATTCTATACCTCTTTGTTCACTTCCTCTCTGGTAGCCTAATCACCACCCTTGGACTCTTCTTTGTTTTTCTTGTTCTTCTTCTTTTTACTCTTGGACTTTTATTCTTCAGTTTATTCTTCTTTTGCGGTAACTTGCTCTTTGCCTGAACTCTTCTATTCAGCCTATTCCTACTACTTTTTCATCTGTCTTTGCTTTTCAATTTATTTATCATCACCATATTAAACTTTATCAAAATCATCTGAGAATTGAATATAACTGAACTCTTTAGTAAACCACTCTCCTGACTCAAAGTCTGGGAAGCAAGCATTATTACTGCAAGAGTAGAATACAATTGTGTTCCAGTCAACAAGAACGAGTTCCCCAATGAAATTGAACAATTAAGGCATGATTTGGAATTCAAAAGATCTTGGCTTGCCACATTTCTCACATGGGTTTACCTTCGACTGATCAATAATGTTTTTATCGGACATCCATAAAGGTTCAGGAACACCACTATCTCTATTGTTCACATACCTAATAACTTGCTCTGGATCAGCTTTGCAAACAATCTCACATAGTTTGTAATGATCAGGAATCTACAGGTAGTTACTGTGATTATTCTTGATAAGTTTCTCAAATTCCTTCATCTCAATATCATCTATCTTATCCTTCTCTTCTCCTTCATGCTTATAATCATTCTCGTCATCTTCCTCCTCAGCTTTGAGAGTCTTCTTGACTAGTTTATCAATCTATCTTTAATCCTTATTAGCGTTTGCTTGGTTTTTCAAGAATTCATCTTCTAGTTGATCTTCGTCACTCTCGTCCCCATCATCTTCCTATTTAGCTTTTGGCTGCTTATTCTTTATTCTTTGAGACTCTTTCAGATAAAATTGAGTTGCTTCTGGGTCTTCTGGTTCATTTATAATCATGTACTCCTTAAATTCTAATTTCTTATCTTTATCAGGTACCTCCTTTTGCTCCTCTTCTTCCTCCTCGTCAAGATTTATCAAGCCTCTTTCAATAAGCTATTGCTCATAGGAGTTCTAAACTTCCTCAAAGAGTTCATCATCAGCAAATTAAACATGTGGATTATCATGCTTTATCATTGATCTTTTAATCAACACTGATCTTTGAGTACCAATGCACTGTGGTGATAGACAGGTGAACACATAAAGAGTTCTATGATAGTCTGAGACAGAGGTATCGTTGGAATTAGCATAAAGTTGCATAAGGAACTGCAGGTAATAGCCACAGTATTAGCATCTTTCCTCAGGTGTTTTATCTTTTGGACATAGCCAAGCCTTAAAATTAAGCATGAAATTTAAATATAATTATTACTGGTTTTCCTCCAATTTTCGATGGGGTGTATGGAGCTGTAGTAATCAAGGTATTTCTTGGTCTCTCAATAAAACCTAGAATGATTTTGTCCTCCTGTTCTTAGTTATTATATGACTCTACCATTAATATTAAATATTGATTACTCTTTTCATCAAACACTCTAAAACAGAGATAGAGGGGTTTTGGGGTTTTGGGGTTTTGGGG